TAATTTAATTCCTGTAATTCCAAATTAATTCCGATAGTTCTAAGAAATTCAAAGTAATTTTGGAAAGAAATTATCTTCGATAATTCAAAAAAAAAAACTAATAATTTTAGAAAAATTCCAGTAATTAATAATAATTTTAGTTATTCTAAAAAAACTCCACCGAAATTACAGAAATTTTAATTATCTACAGTAATTACGTTGTTTTCAGATTATTTCTTATAATCCCAAATTATTTTATGTAATTTCAACTTAATTTACGTAATTCCAATTTAATTTTTTTGAAATTCCAAATTTTCAAAAAAACTCGTCTCCAACAACTCCAAAAAGAATTTTAGTAATTTCAGAAAAATTGCAGTAATTTCAAATAATTGATTATGTCTTTTTTTGCCAACTTAAACAGTCGATAACTTAAAAGTTACCTGTCACCAAAATAAATATGAAACGGAATTCTAATATTTATAATTTTTAACCAAGGAAGAAAATATGTTTTGTTCGTTATTCTAAGAGGCGTTAAAATGAGTAATTTTTAGTTTCAAAAAATTTAATAACAAATTTTCAAAGTATGAATGAACTGAAAGGTCGTTAACTTGAAATAAAGTGTGTACAACTAATTTCAATTCCAATAAAAATTCCACAGTAATTCTAATTTAATTCCTGTAATTCCAAATTAATTCCGATAGTTTTAAGAAATTGAACGTAATTTTGGGAAGAAATTATCTTCGATGATTCAAAAAAAAAATCTAATAAATAATCCAAAAAGAATTATAGTAATTTCAGAAAAATTACAGTAATTTACAAATAATAACAGTAATTTCAAATACTTGCAAGCAAATTCGATTAAATTCCAAAAATTTGTACAACTAATTCCAGAGTTTTAAGAAATAATTCTTGTTATTACAAAAAAAGATACGAATAAGAATTAACTTTAACAGGGGATCAAAGCAAAAAAAAATTATTTGCAGAATTATTAAAACTTTTACTTTAGCAAAATAAGTTTTTTGGCAAGACATGAATTATGTATTTTGCAACCAAACTAAAAAAAAAAAACATGGTCGGCATAATTATTATTTTATTCTCAAAATAGTATATTTGTCACTAAATAAATAGTTCTTTTACTAACGTGGTAGCAATAAGTTATTTGTTTATTAGCGTTTGCAAATGATTTAGTAGATTTTTTTTTCAATTAGGTATTAAATTATTATGTTTCAGTAGTGTTGTAAAATTTTTCAAAAATTATAATTATGAAAGCAATATTTTATGAAAAGTTTCTAAATCTAAACTTTGAAACAACTTTTATTGTTGAATTAATTGATAATTGATAATGTTTTCGAGTGATTGTACATAAATTTACAGTTTTACATAATTTAATAGTTTGGGAACAGATCTAATAATTTGGTACTACAAACTGAATAAATTGGTTATAAAAAGTTCTTTTTTTTTTCAAAGAGCAATGCTAAAAACTATAATTTTTGCATATTATAGAGCAAGTAACTACTACGGTTTCCGAAAGCGAACCCTTCTCTGAAATGAAATACGAACTCGGAATCCCTATCGTGGACACTATAAGTTTGCCACTCGTCGAAGAAATCAAAATAACTCTTACTGAAAAAACTAACGAAATCGACGATGATTTGCCACCAAAACCTCCACCACGAACCTTCGGTGTAGTCGATTTAAACAAACCGGCTTATCCAATCGACTCACCAAAACCGAATATTTCTGAAAAACTGAAAGGGGATTTAGTGCTGAAATCAACCGTTTTCGAGTTTCCTGAAACGAAGCCACCACAAAATAAGTATTTTGAACCGAAGACAGCATCAACACCGAAAAAATCGGAGTTTAGCGAAACTGAAGCAGTGGTACATAAAAGCGTCCCTAGTTTTGAATTACAGAAAATGAGTGAGAGTAAAATCTCACCGACGAATTCAATAGTGCGAGTCATGATTTATTCAAATAAAAATAAAGCCGGGAAGAAGAAAAACACAATTACTGCTAGTAAGTTTTAATTTGAATTAACATTGCACCAAAATTTTTTTTTTTATAGAACGAAGAAGAGTTACAGTTAATGATTTAAATCCTCCCGATACTCAGGGGTATTTATACCAGCGTTTACGAAGTAAACAGAACCAAAATGTGCATTGGGAAAAAAGATGGTTTGTTTTGTTGGGTAGTTGTTTGTATGGTTTTAAAACGAAAGAAGATCCACGAGCTGCATGTCTTATTTTTCTCTCGGGCTTTACTGTGGCTGTGGCCAGCGAAGTAAGAACAAATTTTTGTGTTTTATCAATTTTTTATCTTGTTTTTTTAGGTGAAATCCCGCTCGAATGCGTTTAAAGTCTACCACACCGGCACAGTTTTCTATTTCTCAGCCGAGGATTCTGAAGCCCTCCAATCATGGATCGAGACAATCACCGCAGCCACTCTCAACAATGACAGTCTTAAAATCACCGATGGCTCCCTCTACTCCGAAACGGACGAATCAGACACCGAAAAATCGAAAAAAATCGAAAACAACCCAAAATTCAACTCGTTAAAAAAACTAAAGAAACAGGAAAACACCAGTGGTGGTGGTAGTACAAGTTTGGACCGAAAACGCTTCTTTAACAAATCAAGCAGTCATTCGAAAAATTCACTTCCTGTCCCCACCGCCCAATTCCGCTCCTATCGAAAAATTAAAACCAACGAACCGAGTGAAAGTGTCACCACTGGGAATTTTACATCGCATGTGGCGTCGTTTTTCGCACACAGATCCGAAATTCAGTCGGTTCCGAATTTGACTGTTGAACAAAGTCAAGAAAAAGTCAAATTATCGAAAAAACCGTTGAATTACGTTCATGCAAGTAATCCAAGTTTGTGTAATATTAACGATTTTCATGTTCCGAGTTTTCCGAAGAAGAGTTTCAAGCAGTGTAATGAAAATTTGGCCGGATTTGTGACGTTGGAAGAGCTGATGATCAAGCAAAGCGAGGAGAAAAAACTCAATCCGTACAATATGGCCGATGATGTTTTCATCAATTTGAATTTGATCAAACCGGATGTTGTTTATGGTAGGTTGTTGTGTGTACATCCGGGGAAAAAAACTATTCACATTATTGTTAATAAAATTAAAAGTAAATCAAAAAAAAAATTATTACTTCTAAACAAAGCAAAAAACCCAAAGTGGTAAATTTAATGTAATTCTAATTTAATTCCTGTAATTTCGATAGTGCTAAGACATCCAACGTAATTTTGGAAAGAAATTATCTTCAATAATTCCAAAAAAATTTAAAAATTTTGGAAAAATGCCAGTAATTAATAATAATTTTAGTTATTCTAAAAAAACTCCACCGAAATTACAGAAATTTCAATTATCCATAGTAATTCCATTGTTTTCAGATTATTTCTTATAATTTCAACTTAATTTGCGTAATTCCAATTTAATTTTTTTGTAATTCCTGTAATTACAAAATTTATCTGCGATAACTCCAAAAAGAATTTTAGTAATTTCAGAATAATTACAGTAATTTACAAATAATACCAGGAATTTCAAATAATTGCAAGCAAATTCCATTAAATTCCAAAAATTTGTACAACTAATTCCAGAGTTTAAGAAATAATTCTTGTTATTACAAAAAAGGATACGAATAAGAATTAACTTGACAAGAGATCAAAGCAAAAAAAAATTATTTCCAGAATTATTAAAACTTTTAGTTTAGCAAAATAAGATTTTTGGCAAGAGATGAATTATGTATTTTATTTATAACCAAACTAAAAAAAAAAACATGGTCGGCTTAATTATTATTTTATTCTCAAAATAGTATATTTGTCACTAAATAAATAGTTCTTTTACCAACGTGGTAGCAACAAGTTATTTGTTTAGTAGAGTTTGAAGATGATTTAGTAGATTTTTTTTTTTAATTATTGGACTTCATTTTATATAAATTATGTTTCAGTAGTGTTGCAAAGTTTTTTAAAAATTATAAATATGAAATCAATATTTTATGAAAAGTTTCTAAATCTAAACTTTGAAACAACTTTTATTGTTGAATTAATTGATAATTGATAATGTTTTCATCAATTTGAATTTGACCAAACCGGATGTTATTTATGGTATGAATTAACAAATAGCTATTGTTAATAAAATTAAAAGTAAATCAAAAAAAAATTATTACTTCTAAACAAAGCAAAAAACCCAAAGTTTTACGCTAACACTGCAAAAGAAAATTCTGTAATTAAAAATTCATTATTTTCACCCAGTGGAAAGAAAATTTAATTTTTCTCTTGATTTTGAACTTGCAATAACACTATAGTCTACAAATAATAACATGTTTAATATACTTTTAATCGAATTATTATTTTTATGTTAACTTACCTTTAATTAAACAAAAATAATTGTTAAATTTTTCCATCACTTCACACTTTTTTATTACTGATGATTTTCCTGCTTTCTGCCTCCGATTTAAAATTTATTTAAATTAAAAATTATTACCATATGGATCTAAATAAGTCTTAAAAACATTTTATTGACTCGCATTTGGACTTCTTTTTTAAAAATTTAGGGAACATGAGTGACGAAGATCGACACCAAGGTTTTTGGGATGAAAATTTGTTAGTAGGTGACTGTTGGATTGTTATAAAGAAAACTGATCCAAAAAAGTATAATAAACAAAGTAAAATAACTCATTTTTAATTTGTTCTTTGGCGTTTTTTGTGTTTTTGTTAATTATATATTTCGTGAACTGGACTTTTTTAAATATTTTTTTTGAACTCAGTGCCTCAAAATTCAGCTAAGGTATAAAAATCGTGTAAACTAGTTATTTTTTCTCTGCGTTTTAAATCCCATCACATTGGCGTTTTATTTTTTTGACAACAATGTTGCTTTGACATGAATTAACCCAAGTTAAATAACGAAAATGTTTGTGTTTGGCAGGTCAAAAAAAACAGCTTTTAGAAAAAAAACAGTCATTTTTAACAAAAACAATCATTGTTAGAGCTTGACGTTGTTAAAAATGACTGAATTTTGACACTAAACATACGTTTACTTTAAAAAAAAAATATTGTTTATTGGCGTCGTATGAAATAATATTTCAAAACCACTGTTATTCCTTATAATAAGTAGGTAGTCGGACATAAGATGAAGAATGATGAACAAATTATTAAATTGTTAACGCATGGAAAGAATTTTCAAAAATGATATTCCTAACAATCCTTGTCTTCAAAATTTTTAGAGAAAAAAAGTACGCCCTTGAATTTTTTTTTTACTAAGTGGGCGCACTAAAACGCTATTTTTTTCTCAGGGGAAGTCCCGATCCGCCCGAAAGAGAAAGTCGAAGTGGAGGAAAAAGGCCACTCTCGGAACGCTTCCGACTCGCAAAAACAAGACTTGGGTAGTTCTTGTTTCGGAAAACGTCTCGGCTCTTTCAAAAAAATCCACAAGGAAAGCGACGACTTTGAAACTCGCACTTCAACTTACCCTAAAACGGCTAAAGGTTTTGACCAAAAATTGAACAGATCGCTCCCTCGGACCCACAAATTGTCCGCGGACGTTTCTCGTTACGCCTCCGATAGAAATTTATCAAGTGAGCGAGGATACGAAATGATTTATTGTCCAGAAACCACAACCGATGTTCAATTTGCCCAAAATCGCAATTTGTACAAAGAGACGCCGAAAAAGAGTCACAAAATCAAAAAACAGAACAGTTTTAATTCCTCGGGGAAGTACACTAACAAAGTCTCAGATTCGTCCAAAGTTAAATTAAAATCGGCAATCCAATACACGCCCATGTGTTTGCCTTTGTCACAAGACGACAAGTCCAAACCAAAACTCGCGTTCGAACTGAATTTGGACGAGAAGAGCAACAAGGGAGGGAAATTCAAACAGATTTTTGGTAAACAAAGCGAGGGGAAGAAGGAGAAGACGTTTTTGGGCTCGCCGAAACTACATCGAACCATTTTCCGGAAAAATAATTCCAGTTCGGAGCTAAATTGGCCATCTTCGTCTCAGGTGAGTTGATATACAGGGTGGCCCAGAACTCTGTTTTTCTTCGATTACTTTACCACTAAAGAAGATAACGAAATGCGGTTTCTTTTGGACGATAGAAATTCATTTTTTCTATGGTCCAAAAATATTTTCGTCATTATAGGTAATTACTATATAGGGTGGCGCAACATGGAACACCCGGTATATTATGCGCTTATTTGAAAGAGTTTTTAATTCTAAGAATATCCATATGAGGTTTTATGGGTCTGTCATGGACCGTTTACCATTTATGGGCAATTTTATGAAAAAAAATTACCAGTTTTGTCCTATTTTTTTTCAGACTGTGGTGTCTCAAAGCTCATATTCGGTTGAAAATTCGCCCCCTGAACCACCACCAGTGAGTATAAGTCCACACGCTGATTATCCAGGGTTGGAATATCCGCCGGTTTTTGAACCGGAAACCTATTCTCTTGCCGACCCACAAAGCAGTTTGACGTTGTTGCGCAAGCAAGGCAAAAGTAATAACTAGATTGTTTCGTTTTTGATATTATTTCTTGTGATTTGAGCCATAGTTTTGCCATCAAATATTTGGACTTTTACGCTTGCCTGATATTCAGTTGTTGTTAATACTTGTAAAGGAAACACCATATATTGTTGTGATATTAAAAAAGTGTCAATTACTAAGTAGTTAGCATTGTTTTGTAGTTAAAGCTTGGGGAAAATGTTTTAAAATTTGTTGAATAATCGTTTTAGAGGCAAACGGCTTATTTTTTATTCAATAATGAATACTTTGGCAATATTAGTATTGATATTGTGGTTCAGGTTTATTAGTTTTTAAACTTGTTATTAGTTAGAGAAATTGCAGTATTATTTGATATATTTTATTCATGATGTAATTTTTAATTGCCAATATTTTGTCTATTTGTTACGACCATTGTGTCTCAGGGGTATTGGCTAATTTAAAAATGTTATAACTTATTGATTTTGCAACATATCTGTATATAATTTGTAATATTTATATTTTGCTTTTTACTATTTTAAGTGCCAAATTAATCCCAGTATGAAATAAAATGTTTATATAAAAAGTACTTGTAATAACGTTTCATTTCTACTTTCCCAATTCTTTTTTCAGCAGGTAAGTAATAGTTATTTGTATAACAAGGCACTAAAGTTGAAGTTTTTACCACAAACATGTCATATTTTATTACAAATACAAAAACATGTGTCAAAATTAAAAAAACTATAAAAATTATAAAAGTTAAGCATAAAATAACACCAATCAGTAAATCACATGAACTAATAAATACTAAGAAAAATGTAACACTTGGAAATCAAGACATAAAATACATTCAGAAAAACAATAATCAATAGAAATAAAAAATTAAAGAAATAAAAGTTCAAAATTTCGTGTTTCTCAACCAAAATCGTCTATGATAAAAATGTTTAAAATAAAATGTTTGCAAAATGAGTGTGTTTTTTACTAGACGTGTGCAAAAACAGCCGTGTTTTATACAAGATTTTTCCAATTTGGTTGTGAAAAGCATAGACATCCAATTCGAATTTAAAATATGTGATTTCAATAATTTTCCAATTTTTAACACTAGTGATAAAATTAAAACTAAAATGACATATCACAATGGTTGCTTTTCACAACAAAATTGTTAAAAAAATAGTTTAGCGCTAACGGAATAAAACTTATTCCGAAAAAATGTTTTAGGCCCTTGAACATGAGTAACACATCACAGCAATTTTAAAAAAATTAAATTATGTAAAACTTGAAATACTATTCAACTAACATTGCACACTACTTTGTCAACTTTCCTTTTTTATTGTATTTTAAAAATTTCGAATAATAAGTGTCAAAAAACGGTGTTATTCATATTAATTAAAAATTGGTAAATATTTAAAAAATATTTTATTTCAAACCTTCCAGCTATAAAAATTTTACTCACCAATTGACTCATAAACTACGAAATACATAAAAGATGTGGGTTGATGTCAATTTCTTATTCATTTATACGACACTTAAAGCCTTGTTTGCGCCACGTCAAGTCAATCTGGCCATGATAAAAAACCTGGACTATTAAAATAGAAGTCTAAATTTATCTCAAGTTGTAATAAAATCTAAAAAACGATTTTCTTTGGTTGCTTTTTCGTAGACTTCAATTATTAACACACTCGCTACGTTCGTGCATCAAATTTTGGTGTAAAATGTTGCGTTTTTTGTATAAAGTTAAAAAAGTTTTTTTTAATATAATTTACCTTATTGGTATGGTTTATTCTGCAAAATTTGTTAAAATGGAGGATATTGATTGGTGTATTTCTGGTACTTGGCGGATGGAGCGTCCTTGTTGCTATAGCAACGTTGGGGATAAATATAGGGGTTTCCAGGCGGTTTTCCCATTTCCAGTCAAGTCTAGAGCGAAGGACTTTCCTGGATAACACGTGAGTTTTTTGATATTTATTCATTGAGTGTAATCGCTGTAATAGAGTTGGTAATAGAAAGAACACTGGACCAGTTATGTGTCACAGTCGTAATCAAAATTGATGACGTATAAAGTACTTAGATAAAAATTATCTCGTGTTTTATTAGAAGTTTAAGTATCTCGACTTATTGACTTCTTGACTTTGCCGGCTATTTATATCGCTAGACGTTGATTTTTTCAAGAAATTCATATTTAATGAGCAAAGTTTATGTAATCGAACGAATTTTTTAAATGTTATTTTCAGAATGATGGAGCAACAAAGTGGTAAAAGTTTGAACAATAAAGTTAAAGAAGAAAAGGAAAATTTTAAATTTAAGGAATTTTTCAAAAATGTTTCTTACGAGAACTTTGTTAGATTTATGTACCAGCCCAAGGATCCATCCAGTTTGGGAGTCATTCGGTTTTTGTTTGGTGAGTTGGAAAAGCTTTTGTGTGGGCAAGAAAAGTGTTTCAAAACAATGGTTTTCAATAAAATTGCTTTTTTACGATTTATGTTATTTATGCTTCAAAAGAAAGTAATTAAAAATTATCTACTTTAATACAATAATTCAATAAAATAAGTGAAAAAGCGTTTTTTTTTAAACGTTGAAGTTCACATGAAAATAAATCCTGTTTTTAGTGCGTTTTTCAGCCAGAAACGCCAGAAAATCTGACGAATTAAGCCAAAAATTGTGATGTTTTTGAATTTGCATTTTGTTTAGGCACGTTTTTGTGATAAAAACAGATTATTAATTTACCTTGTTTGGCTCGATTTAATTCGTTTTTGAGTCAGAAAGGCATTTAATTCACAAGATCTCTTGTCAAAACATGTTTAAAAAAACAATAAATATCTCGTTTTTTGAGCAAAATTTTGTCAAAATAGTGTTTATTTTTCTATTTTTAAGTTTTGAAGCACGTTGTTGAACTAAAATCTCGTCGAAATACGAGTAAATATGATATTATTATCTTTGTTTTTTTAAATGTTTAGCACGTTTTCAGCTAAAAATACAATTATTTCAAACAAACCGAAAAATCACTTAATTAGGCCAAAAAAGGTGTTTTTTAAGCGTTTAAGCACAAAAACGAAATTATTTCGCAAAATTTTGTAAAAAATAAACCGAAAAATTGTTATATTAAATACGNAGCTAAAAATTGTTAGTCGCAACAGAAAACAAAAATTCGCTAGTTGGAATAAAATATTGATAGAATAAAAATCGCTAAATGAACACAAAAATCTCATGATACAAGAAATAATTGAGTAAAAAATTATTTGTTGGAACAAAAAAAAATCTCTATGGAACAGAAGTTAGACAAAAAATTATTTGAGCCAAAAATCGCCTGTTAGAACAAAAAATTAAAGAAAATTTTTTGTCAAAATACTGTTATTTTTCTATTTTTAAATTTTGAAGCACGTTTTTGAACTAAAATCTCGTCCAAATACGAGTAAATATAATATTATCTTTGTTTTTTTAAGTGTTTAGCATGTTTTCAGCTAAAAATACAATTATTTCAAACAAACCGAAAAATCACATAATTAGGCCAAAAAAGATGTTATTTTTGTATTTTTAAGTGGCACAAGAACGCAGTTATTTCGCAAAATTACGTAAAAAATTTAGCCGAAAAATTATTAAATTAAATACGAAAGTGATATTATTTTTGTTTTTTTCAAGTATTTTAACATGTTTTTTGGATAAATATTTTGTTAAACAATCCTAGTAAGTCAGAATTATTGGCATTTTGTAAATCTACTGCAAAAAAAACTCGATTTTCGAAAAGGGCCTAATGTTTAATATTATTTTACTATTGTAAAGATCTCTTGACAAAACACGTTTAACAATCACAATAAATATCTCATTCTTGAACAAAATTTTGTCAAAATAGTGTTATTTTTTATTTTTAAGTTTTGAAGAACGTTTTTAAACTAAAATCTTGTCGAAATACGAGTAAATATGATATTATTATCCAAAATATCACATGATTAGGCCAAAAAAGACGTTATTTTTGTATTTTTTAAGCGTTTAAGCACAAAAACGCAATTATTTCGCAAAATTCCTTAAAAAATAATCCGAAAAATTACTAAATTCAATACGAAAATGATATTATTTTTGTTTTTTTTTTCAAGTGTTTTATCATGTTTTTTGGATAAAAATTTTGTTAAACAATCCTGGTAAATCAGAATTATTGGCATTTTGTAAATCTACTGTAAAAAAAACCTCCATTTTAGAAAAGTGCCTAATGTTTAATATTATATTACTATTCTAAAGATCTCTTGACAAAACACGTTTAAAAATCGCAATAAATATCTCATTTTTGAGCAAAATTTTATCAAAATAGTGTTATTTTTTTATTTTTAAGTTTTGAAGCACGTTTTTGAACTAAAATCTCGTCGAAATACGAGTAGTTTAGCCTTTTTTCAGCTAAAAATACAATTATTTCAAAGAAACCAATAAATCACATCATTAGGCCAAAAAATATGTTATTTTTGTGTATTTTTTAAGCGTTTAAGCATAAAAACGCAATTATTTCGCAAAATTTCGTAAAAAATAAGCCGAAAAATTACTAAACTAAAATCTTGTCGAAATACGAGTAGTTTAGCATGTTTTCAGCTAAAAATACAATTATTTCAAAGAAACCAAAAAATCACATCATTAGGCCAAAAAAGATGTTATTTTTGTGTATTTTTTAAGCGTTTAAGCACAAAAACGCAATTATTTCGCAAAATTTCGTAAAAAATAAGCGGAAAAATTATTAAAGTAAATACGAAAATAATATCATTTTTGTTTTTTTCAAGTGTTTTATTATGTTTTTTGGATAAAAATTTTGTTAAACAATCCTAATAAGTCAGAATTATTGGCATTTTGTAAATCTACTGTAAAAAAACCTCGATTTTAGAAAAGTGCCTAATGTTTAATATTATTTATTGTAAAGATCTCTAGACAAAACACTTTAAACAATCACAATAAGTTTCTCATTTTTGAACAAAATTTTGTCAAAAAACACAAAATTTTGTCAAAATAGTGTTATTTCTTTATTTTTAAGTTTTGAAGCACGTTTTTGAACTAAAATCTCGTCGAAATACGAGTAGTTTAGCATGTTTTCAGCTAAAAATACAATTATTTTAAACAAACCGAAAAATAACATAATTAGGCCAAAAAACATGTTATTTTTGTATTTTTTAAGCGTTTAAGCACAAAAACGCAATTATTTCGCAAAATTTCATAAAAATAAGCCGAA